GTCATGATTGGAACAAAATGGAATCTACACTACCTGAGGATGCTTCCATATAAATAGGATCAATTATGGCTTTGCTATTCTTGAAAAGAAGATTTTTAAAAAGTTTTCCCATATATTTCTATGTAAAACTTTGGTCGGTCTTTGTGGCCCTGCCCTACCCCCGGGGGTCATGATTTGAACAAATTTGAATCTACACTACCTGAGAATGCTTCTATATAAATTATGGCTTTGCTATTCTGGAGAAGAAGATTATCAAAGAATTTTCCTATGTATGTTTATGTAAATCTTTGGTCGACCATTTTGGGCCCGCCCTACCCCCGGGGGTCATGATTTGAACAAACTTGAATCTTCAGTACCATATGAGTTTCATTTTTCCTAGCACATTGATTTTGGAGAAGAATGTGTTAAAGATTTTGCCTATATATTCCTCTGTAAACTTTGATCAGCTATTGTGGCCCCGACCTACCTCCGGGGGTCATGATTTGAATAAACTTAAATCTACACTTTCTGAGGATGCTTATTCATGAGTTTCATCTTTCTTGGCCCAATGGTTCTGGAAAAGATTTTTTTTAAATGCCATTTTTTTTCATTAAATCATAGCACCTTGGAAGAGGGCATGGCCGTACATTTGAACAAACTTAAATCCTCTTCTCCCAAGGATACTTTGTGGCAAGTTTGGTTGAAATTAGCCTAATGCTTCTTGACAAGAAAGTGAAAATGTCAAAAGTTTAGTACAATAACAGATATCGGACAAATTTTGATCAGATAAGCTCACTTGAGCCTTGGCTCAGGTGAGCTTAAAATATTTTCGATGGTCCACGAATGTTTCTAAAAAAATGATAAGCTGATTATAGGTCAAAAGCAAACATGAAACCTCCGATTTTAAGCATTTTCTTTGCTGTCAAAGCATCTTTGCATCTTAACCTAAATTTGTGTAAATTGGAATACGGTAAATATGCCTACAATCAAGTGCTAACCTTGGCTTACCGCTTTTACTTTAAGCCACAGTCAAAGGATATACAACTCATAGGCGTAGTCACCGGGGGGGGGGGGGGCAGCGGGGGCACAAGCCCCCCGACTTTCAGATCTGGGCGGGGGGCAAGAGTATGTCTGTGCCCCCACTTTTTAATGAAGAACAAAATCACAGCTATGTTGAAATAATATTAAACCTCATTTTATTGCAATTTTTTTTTAATTTTCAACAACTGAGTAAGCATTTCTCTTCAAGTAATAGTTGTATAGTAATGTAATTTAGTAATTAAATCTGTCAAGACCTCTTGTGTTCGCCAGTTTGTTCTGTTTCACTCAGTCTCTGTTATCTAACAAAATTAAATGAGAATCACAAGCTACCCTTGTGTTGACATCTGAAAGTAATTATTTGCTGTATTCCATTTCTTGTATAACACATATTCACAAAGTAAATTTTGTCAAACCTCCGGATTTTTAATTATTTAAATTTGTTGATTCATTAGCACTCTTTTATTTTTACATATACTGTAGATCACTTAATTTTGGCGACACCTTATTTTCGCGAGATAGACATAGACTCTTTGTAAGCGAGACAAAATTTTCACGATTGTGGTCATTGCTCTATATAATCTTAAGGAATTCTTTTACACGCGAGAATGAAATTTTCGCGAGCATACCGTCTAGCGTAATTACGCGAAAATAAAGTTATCGCAAATAAAAATTGATTTGCAGTTTGTACTATAGAATTCTAGTCAATCCAAATCTCATCAAAATAAGTAATTTCTACAAGATAGCTGCAGTATTGGAGATTCTGATTTCGGTATACCTGCGATGAATGTCAATCAACTTTAAAAATACTATTTGAAATCTTCTCATTTAGCTTAGACAGGGGTTTGATATCACTTTGGCTAGCTGATTTAAGGGGGCATGAGGGACGCACACCCTTAAAATTTTTAAAGTATAATATGATTAATATTATTAATACCATACTTTGATACATATCTAACCAATGCCACAATTTTTGTTTCTGTTTTTTTTTTACTATTAAATTACACGAAAACTCAGGAGCTTCCAGGGGCTTCGCCTCCTAGGCCCCACCATTCAAAGTGTGATATGACTAATATTATTTCATGCCACACTCCCGTTTTACATATCCTGTATTCGCCCATAGATATTACATGTTGTACATCTTAATATTTCTTTATTTAACACACAAGGCTTTGGAATTGGGGGTTGGAGGATTATACTACAGAAAACTTAGATACTATATGCTGGTGCCCCCTCATTAAAACCGTCTGATGTTCTTTTTTTTTTGCTTGTTAACGAATTTCTGGAGTTGCCCCCCCCCCCCCCCACTTTAAAGTTTGTGACTACGCCTCTGCAACTGTAGGTTTTTGGGACACGTCGTGGAACGCACACCTATTCTACCAAATTTTTGATATCCTCTGTGACGAAATCTTTATCTCTCGCTAACCTTTTGTTGCTTAATTCAATGAGTTGTGCTTGGAATTTTTTTACATGACTTCATAACATCTAAGACTGTTTACCTATTCCAATTTTCTCCCACTCATCATAGTGTGATCTTCAGCGACGAACTGGAGATTTTTTTATATCAAAAAATGTGCAAAGTATGAAATAGATAACAATAATTAGTGAATTTAGTTTTACACTTATTATATTTGACGTCATCTGTCTTAATGCAATCCCGTCTCCAGTGCCCCCCCCCTTCCCCCCAGTCAAAACATCTGCCGGGTTTTCCACTGCCTGTTGACATCTCGTCAGTCTCCATGCGATTGACAGTTGCCGATTTCTTTTGATAAGGCTCGAATCTAGGTCTCTTCCTCCCTCTCTGCCGTCATCTACGATCTGTACATCTTTTTTTTTTTACATCGTCTGCTATCGGATTGGCTTAATATTCTTGAACCACTCATCAACCAAGCTGCGACGATCTGAAAACTTAATGACTTTTTGACGATTCTTAACCAACTCTATACCTTCATTGATACTACTGTTTGGGGACTCGACTGCGTCGTCGCTGTTCAAATGCTACCTGGCCTCCTTCAGTTTGGTGAGAACTTTCGCTTCATGCTTATTTTGATTCTCATTTTTCTTCTTTACGGAAAACATAATTTTCCTTTAAATTAACTTCAATTTTTGCCGATCGGGATGTTGAAATTTGTTAGAAAATCGTCAAACGACTGTCAACAATATCTTTTAGAATGTCTAACAATTCTGTCTCTTTACGCGAAACACCTCGATCACCTTCTTGAGAGAAATTGCACCCTGTTTCTGCCTGGCGTCCATGACCATAAACACAACTTGCTTGGGAAGGCGTGCGCTTGAAAGTGAACTCTTAGGCCAGCATTTTTTTTATTTTTAGGTTTACAAACCCGCTGCTCAAGTTTTTGAATTTTCAGAATAAGAATAAAAAAAATAAAATTGAGAAAAATGGATTTTTTTTTCTTTCCGATGTCAAATTTGTGACGGGATCGAGATTCTCAATTTACGAACTCGTGTTTCTGGTTTATAATGAGAATGGCGCGCGTAAATCACAGTGCGTAGAAATCCACCATGGCTTGGTTCAGCGTGAAATATGTCAATGGAAGCGATGTTCAGAAAGTTTTTGCATGTTCTGAGGCTAACCAACAAGCGGGCGACTTTGTTGTGCATTGGTATGTTGGCGAGATGTCGAAATTATTAAAAATAGAGGGTTTCAAATTTGACCCCGATGATACAAATCCCAGACAGGGAGAAAGCGATGCATGTACCAAAGGAAATGCCCATGGACACTGTTGCAGCATTTGGTGTTCGATATATAATTGTGTACTATGAAAACAACGCTAGTGCAGCCCCTGCGTCTGTTCAACGCAACGCATTCGATGTCCTTCGTAATGTAAACAAAACATACGACTGGCTCCCCCCACCAAAGTAAGTTGTAATGAAATAATGACCCCGTAAAAGTTGATAAAAGTTTTTATAGATGAAGTATTCAAGAAATTTTTTTACCTTTGGAAAATGATTCTGAACTTTTTATCCCCTTTTTGAATATTTGTTTACAAATTACAGAAGAACACCCTCAAACTGTAAGGACAAGCTGTTTAATGATGTACTACAGAAATGTGAGGAGAAGTTCAAAGTTGCATTTCGTAGACAACAACAAGATGTTGGATCAAAGATAATAAACACTTTGGTAGAGACTCTTTGGTTCATCGACCCATACCTAGAAAAAATGAAAGAAAGATCCTGTAATATACCAGAAGACCTGTACTTTTGTGGATACAGAGATTCGAAAAAAAAGTCATAAAAATATGTTGGTATACAGGTATACGATTGCTATTTGTCAGAATTTAAGTAAAGAAAAAAAAACATAAAAACATCTTGAAGCTGTCCTTTAATGAAATTTTAATTTCAATTTTTCAAGTTTTAAAAATTAAATAACAAACACTGAATTGATTTTGCAGATAAAAGAGCCAGAACTGAAGGCCTGTCTAGCTACCTTAGCGGAAATATTGATGTATCCATGGTGGACAAACCCTAGATTTCAATTGTTTAATAAATGTGTAAATGATCTGTAAGAGGCTTTGGAAAAATACCATAAATTTCTTGTAAATCAGCAGGAGCGAACAAAACAGAACCATGCATCCCCTGTACCTGTGAGATCCTTAAATGACAATTGGTCCTTGAAGTCTATTGAGGGTCAGTCTCGTAAGTCATTGTGATTTGTCACAAAGTCAAACTTTTCAAATATATCAAAGCCAAAATAATGAGTATGTCATTAAAGAAATTTCAACACATTGAAGTAGAGATAAATAGGATTTTCTGATCTATAAAATAATAAAATTCATCTGACAATATTTCAATTTCTCACAAAAAAATTAAAATCTATCATTTTAGGTAACCAAGGTCAGAGTGTACCAAGTGATTATAAATCCCTTATTTCAAGACTTGAAACCTTAGATACATATGAAGTAGTCCCATTAGAAAATTTTGAACCCAGTGAGATGAGTGATAGGCGCAGATGGAGAACAAATTTAGAAAGTATTTTACCTTTTCCCGTTTCGTTGTTTTCAATCAGCTTTGGGAACTATATTGGAAATTCTCTTTTTATATGGAAAATACCATGTGCAAGTGAAAGAAGTGCTGAAAAAGAACTTGAAGTAGTGACTCACATTAAAGAGAAAATGCTTTTGTTTTCTACCAGAGCAATGAGGAAAGAGTTTTTTGAGAAATATCCTAATATGAAACCATATGAATTGAGAAATATGTTCTTCAAGCTAACAAATTTTGAATACTGTTCAGAAAATAAATCCAGTGCAGATGTTGATGAACGATTCATGAAATTTATTTTATCTAGTGATGATGAAGACTTGATAGTTGCTCTTAGGAAAAACAATGGCCGTCCTTGTGACCCAAATCTACAACCATTTTGGAATGAACTTGCCAAGCTGCTAGAGGAGGTCTCGGTAGTGGACGATCGCCGCCAGCATTCAACGTCCTATCTGCCATTTGCAATCTCCATTGATGATTTAAGAGAACAAGTGAAAACTAGACTTTCTCCAGGTGATCCGACTCCTTCAAATTCTTGGATCCGACTGAATTTCATGCCATCTAACCCAATGGCTAAGACTGCAGAAAACTACACTGGCAGATTCAATGTCAAATATGCTGTGCAACAACGATTACCGCGTGCACAACATGAAGATGCACAGTATGCCTTACATCAGTTCTATATGCTGAAAGACATGGCCGTTAAGTACAGGGAATTTGCGTACATGCAGTGTCTTGATGATAAAGCAATCATACCCATAGGTGAACCTTTCCGACCTGTTTCTACTGGTGTAAGAGCACATCATCAAGGACTGACAGTTAGCAATAGCAGAGGCTTGCTTTGTCTTGACCATGACTAAAGCATTGCTGGGATGGTACCTTCGGTGTGCTTTCAAGTATCCATTCCTGAAAATTCCAGAGACTCCTTTCATTCAGGAACCTTACATATTACACTTAAGGACAAAGTATTCCAGAGCTCCACTCCATTTAGGCATGCAATGGAAACCATCAAGATTTTGCGGGAGTTTCACAGTCAGGATGATATAAATTTGGATAAGCCGATACTTTTCCGTTACACAGACGGTGGTCCTGACCATAGGACAACATTTCGCTCAGTTCAAGTCGCTGCTCTGCTGGAATTCATTAGTTTGGATTTAGACTTGCTCATTTGTGTTAGAACAGCCCCAAACCAAAGCTACAATAATCCTGCAGAGAGGATGATGTCCATCTTAAACATAGCATTACAGAATACCGCCCTTTGTCGTACTGCCATGTCTGATGGAAAAGAGCTTCAAGCAAGCGATTAAGATCACTATCTAGCATAAGAAGATATGCAGAAAAAAAATCCAGATTTCAAAAGTGACTATATAGATTTCATTCAGGAGCCTATCAACATTATTTCTGAAAGGTTCAAGAAACTTTAAACTTAAAGGAGAGCCTGCTCATGTACACAATGCAGCAACAGATGGTGAAATCAAAGATCTGCTTGAAATTATTCATGCACTTGACCAAGACTACAAAACAGAAGCGATTGCGAACTTTGAAAGATCAAAAGTGGTTCATGCATTCATGAAGGCACATGCAAGATTTCGTAAGTATTCCTTTCAGGTATAGTGATATGCCTTGTAATTTTGCATGTTTTATCACATATAATGGTTTGTGTAGTATTAGTTCATTTGCCTTTTCCTAAAGTAATAAGCTAATATCCTAATCATTTCATGTTTGTGGAGCTCAGATATGCACTAAATGAAGCTTGATAAAAGAAACATTTAATACTACTAAGTCAAGTATTTGATTAAACACTTTTTTCATGCTTTTTATACTCAGCTAGTATACTAACTGTCTTATTACACATATATTCTCCTTTTATCTGCCTACTAACATGATATGGCTATATCTAGGACCCTCAATATTAATTTTCAGCTGAAGAAGTGTAAAGATGATTGTTGCTCATATTGCACAATTAACCCACCTAGACTTCCCCATGATGTGTTTGAACAGCTTTCTTTCTTACCTGACCCAGTGTTGGGAAGTAATGACAGATTCAAGCCATTTACTGAAGTTTATGGCACTGAGACATCTGATTCAGATAGACCCTCTTTAAAAAAAAACCCTGAACTTACAGAGAGAGACAAAAAATTCAAGAGCATGCTTGTTGCTGGTTTGTTACTTGTTTAATTAAAGAAAATCATTTTTAAGTGGTGGCTATCAACAAAGTTAAAACTTCTATTTAGTAAATTTTAAATAGTAAAATCTTGTTCAATCTGACATTAAAAAAATGTTCCAACAATTTTGATAATTTACCATTTTCATTGTTCGTGAAATTCCTTTAAGGTTTTTTAAAATGTTATATTAAATATTGCTCTATTTTTAGCCAAAGTTCGAAACTATGTCTTGTGCCATGACTGTGGAAAGCGCCGAGTTGTCTATTCTGCAGCAAAACTAACCAAGGAGCAAGAGAATGCTGTAACACGTGTAAAGGAAGAGCTGCTTTACTCTTGTGGGAACCCACTTTTTCCAGGAGGAAGATTTCAAGATGTGATAATTGTAAAAGAGGGGTTAAACTGTCTGAGTCCCATGGAAACAACATACTATTCTGGTAATCCTTTTAATTGATGCATTTTAATAATAAAAATTTTGAAAATACTAAGTCTGCAATTCTAAAGCCTAAAAAAAGAAGATAATGAGTTTCATAATAATTCCAGTATGACTGATGATGAACATATCTTTATCAAATTAGTTTGTTATTTGTAACAGGAACAGTCCAGTTTTTGAATCAGTGTGTTTCCATTGCGGGAAAGACGAGGATTTGGCGGACAACGATGAAATAAATAACTTAAAATCTAAATTTCTAGTGCGGCCTATTTGTAATGGTTGTTTGACACGTGGCAAGGAACCTGTCACAAGAGCTTCAAAAAAAAAAAACAAAAAAATGAAATTTATGTACATGCGAAAATAAAGTCGATATAAATCACAAAAAATAGAATTTTATTTTCTTTTTATTTCCTCCTCCTACGGGACTTTATAATTCTTTGGTTCGTAAACCTAAAAATAAAAAAATGCTGGCCTTACTTACCACTCGGAAATATGATCGAACACGTTTTCTCAATTTCGACAATTTTACCACAGTAACACCACACTTTCAATAATTTTTCGCTATACTTCGTAACGCGAAAAAATGTAATTACGAATTGTACCTAAGTGCATGGGACTTCTGGTTTCACCAGTGACAAAACTAGGCAGCATTACATTTTTTAAATAGTCACTGTTGTATTATGTTATTGTATAAGGACCGGTCTCCATGTCCCACAGTGGGATTTGAACGTGCGACATAAAGATCGACTCTAGAGCAGACACCCCCCACCCCGGTTCCCGCGCCTATGTACTCGGATTGACGAATACATGTACTGTGATAATTACAGAATTATTTTTGACGTTTTCCTGGGAAAGCGCAATATAAAGGAGTGTGTATTTAGATACACTTTAGTGCGGGTATTACTGTCTCATGACAGCATATAGTTATTTTTATAACGGGTAGCCCTACTGTCATACTGGCCAGTCATCGTCACGGTTTGTAACATCGTAATTACACAAGTAAATACTAAGGTGTCAATCTATATATTTTCACCTATTTTTTTTTACCGTAATTCAGTGGAAGAATTTAAGCTGTTGAAGCCTCCATCCGAATGATTCTTTCTTATACAAGTAGAAGCTAGTAGGCTATTAAGTGAGATGTGCTTAGAAGATCTAGAACTATTACTTTTTAAATTTTTGGAATACAATACATATTTCTCAGAATTTCGAAACATGGGCCAATTTTTAATTTTTTGAAACATAAAAGAAAACAATTTTTTTTGCTCGCTTTGCAAAGAAAAAAAACCCATTAAAAATGATTGTACTTCTATAATGAATTCTGTGGAGACATTTTAATCATGTTAATTTGTGTGGTTCAATGGATCAAGAAAAAAATTACTTGTTCTGTTCATGAGTGTGTAACTTTGTAGATTTTAACTCATTAATAATGTAGATTCAATCAATCAATATAACAAAAATTAATGTTCATAGAGATGTAAATTCATGGGGGTATAGAATGACTCGTGAGTAGTATAAGGCGTCTAGATGGCGAGGTCAACTGAGTGCACTTTTTATGCAAATGAGGTTCAAAAATGGGTCAACTGAGTGGAGTGCTAACCCTAACCCCTAGCCCCCTAACTAACCCTAACCCTAACCCTAACCCTAACCCCCTAACCCTAACCCTAACCCTAAACCCTAACCCTAACCCTAACCCTACCCCTAACCCTAATCCTTAACCCTAACTCCCTAACCCTAACCCCTTAGCCCTAATCCCTTAGCCCTAACCCTAACTAGCCCTAACCCTAACCCTAACCCTAACCCTAACCCCCTAGCCCTAACCCCCTAACCCTAACCCCCTACCCCTAACCCTATCCCCTTAAAAATACGGAGTGTGTTTTACACTATACGTAGGTACTACGTTTTTTTTTTTTTTTTTTTTTGCTGACTATACAGGTAAAAAATGCGCCGTGTGCAAAAAAACATTGCAAGAATGTGATTATGACGTCACGCATTCACAGTCTAGACAGTCCTATAACCGGTTTGAACTGGTTTTACTGAAAGACAAGAACCACCTGGATTTTTTTACTGAAAACAAAACACAAACAAGACAGATTGTGATTTTCAATTTTTATTCACAATGAAAAAATACAAAAATGATTTTAATTTCCACTGTATCGGCATAAGGGACATTTCTGGTAGGACGTCTCAAAGAGTTTCTTCACACATTCCTCACAACACGGATATTGCCGACATTGTTCGCATTTCCATTTTCCTTGAGTCTTTTCCTGGTAGCACATCATACATTCTTTCAACGGTCTGTTCCTAGTCATTTTCATCCATCGGGGAGGCGGTATGTTCTCAATTCCTTTCTTGTGTATGAAGTATTTCAGGCACCAGCTACAACCGCAATCTTCTAAAGAAGGCTCATCATCCACATACCAGTGTGGAAATGGCATTTCACAATGCTGACAAATCCTGTACGTTCTCTGATGCCATCCCGGATAGTTATACACTGTCAATGTTTTATAATTCCTCGTATTCTGATCACAGTAATGACAAACATATTTTTCTACATCAAACCAATAGATCAATCTCCACGTGAAATACATGATGGGTACAATGAGTGCAGGGTACTCCCAGCTCGGCTTTATATACCTGGTGTGAGCCGTGTGCACCTTTTTTACCTGGGCTTTATATACCTGTTACATCCTCTGTAAAGGACCGTGTGCCAAAACTTAGGGGCCGTGTGCACTTTTAACCTGCGTTTTCTATACCTGTTGCATCACCTGTAAGGGGTTCGTGTGCATCAATACGTTTTACCTACGTGGGCTATAAAAAATGAGAATAAAAAATAATAATAATATTTTTTTTTTTACTGTGATAATACATAGATGCAATGGAAAGAAAAAAAAGTATGTATTCAATACCTTGGAAATTTCACACAGGGTTAAGAAAAAATCGTTCTTTTTTTTTAAAATACCAAAACCTCAATCAAATCTACGAATTACTAGACCCCACCCCCTTGGATGCAATGAATATCATATACAAAATACTATTTCGGAGGAGAATTCGACAGTTAGAAGCATTGTTAGTTTTTAACAAATAAAACAAAATAAAAAAAATCTTGTAATACTACATCACTGTTATGTTTATTGTATGACGTCATGGATACACTCGGGTTCGGCCTTTCCCCCCTTCAATTTTGCTTTCTCACTGTGATGGGCGTGTTTACCAAATGGGGTGATTTTCTTTTAGCCAATCACATTTGATCACATGATTGGTTTTTCCATGTTTCGCACGCGATTCCAGTATCGTCTGCTATTGTAAATAAATACAGCCCAGAAGACAATTTTTGTTCGAAGAAGGGGGGGGGGGTGTTTTTAAACCAAATCTTTCAGTACTTTTTTAACAAACTGACTACATGAATTGTATTAACAAGCCCTGTTGGGTTTCAATATATACATTTCAATTTCAAGTAAAAAAGTATGGAGCTAGTGTCAAAAGGGGAAGGGCGGACCTTTTGCAACCTTTTAGACCTTTCCAAAGAACGGAAAAATAAACTCAATTTCACCATTCATATCCATCCTGCCCTCCCCCTTACACATACACAAATGTACCACATAAAACTATAACTTCATTATATGTAAAGATGCTACATTTTTAACAAGCACAGAAATGTTCAAATGTGAACTTTACGTGTTAGAGGTGTTTATCCGAGCTTACCGGAAAGGTCTGCTCTAATCGTAATCTTAGGAATTAAAAAAAAATCGTTCTCTTTAAACATGGTTCGTCTAGATATCAAATATTTGCACCCTCCCTTTCCAGGTATAACTTTTTTTTTACTATAGAAATGTTTATTGAAACCTCCACAATTTGTTAATTAAAGTAGTAAGTAAGTGTAAAAAAAAGTATTGAAAGATAGTGGAGTGGGAAATGATTCCCCCTCCCGAATCATATACATGTATTTTTTTTCGCTTAACCCCCCCCCCCACACACAAACTTTCAAATTCAATTCTATGTCACTGCTACGTCAGCAATTTTCATGAATGAATGATTTGGAGATAATTATAACGAGCAGTATTCAATATCAAAGTCCATAAAACAATACAAACAGGAGCAGAGCAAACACGGACCTCCAACATAGAAGGTGGGATCAGGTGCCATGGTGGAGTGACCATCCCGTGCTGACCGGTCACACCCGCCATGTGCTCCTTGTCATGATCAGGAAATAACGGGAAAATCCGTCGTCAATTCAGTGTATGAATAATGAACTATCAATTAGTATGAAAAACGTCAGTCAGCATTTGACTCAATGATAAATTGTATTTGCTGACAAGGTCATTGTATCGACCATAGAACTTACGAAATGGTGTCTTAAACAAGACCGCTGATATTCTTGTTTCATCAACTTGCTTGTCAATAAGAAAAGAGGCTGAACATGACTAATTCAACTTAATTTTGATAATACGGGATTGTATGTTTTTAAAATATATTGTTTAAGACAAAATTTGTGTATTTTAAGTGATTTAATCTAAACTAATATATTCCGTTCCGTTCCGTTTTCCGTTCCGCGTTTTAGCAACACCCCCCCAACAGGCCATCATGTGCAGCTTATGTCTCGCGAGGGGAGCCTAAAATTTTGTTCACGATGTCTTCAACGAGCATCTTGCCTACTCTGTGCTGCCCGTATCGTCGAGCAAAACCTGCCCCTGCCCCCCGTGCGGAACCGGGTACGTGTCCCCGTTCCTCTCTCCAGGAGAGCAGAGTTTAACCCTCCTGATGACAGTTCTTCTTCGGATGATGATGAGCCTTCCATGGGCCAGATGCTCCATGAACTCTTGGCTGCCTAGGGAGCCACATGGAGCCACCTTGATACCAAAATTATAAAACAAAAAAAAAAAAAAAAAACAAAAACATCGAAAAATACAAAAAAGTGTTTTCTACCAACGGCTCTTTTAAGAGCCACCAAATCTTTAGAAAAGATGCCTACTTAAACAGTCGAAAAACGAAACGTTCTGTGTATGTCCCTTTGAAA